GAACTCCTGACCTGGGGGTGGCAGGGGGCACACGTCTGGGCAACCCCAACCCCCTGCTTGCACTGGCCTGGGGCCCTGCTGCCCACTTCAAAGGCGGTGGGTAAATCCCCCCTTGGGGCCAGCCCAAATTGACAAGCGTTGTGCTTTGTCATGGAGATGGTGGCCAGCTCCTTTGGCAGCGAGGTGAGGTGCGGGGGCCCTTTGTCCTGCCCTGCCCGCGCCCTTTCATCTTCCCTCCCAGCCTTGGTTGCCACTACCAGCCCAGCCTGGACCTATCCTGCCCGCAGCGGGAGCCTCTGCCCACTGGGCTTGGCTGGATCCACCACCCCTTTCCCTCTCCTGTGCTGGTCATGAGCTCCACAGAGCATTGCTGGGGCCAAATTCACTTCAAGAGTGGCTTTGGGCATCTCTTGGAGGTGAGATTTCTTTTGGTCACTCTCCCGTATCCACAGGATCGGGGCCAGGGCTCCCTATTTGCAAAGTTGCTCCAGTTTTAGGCTTGTTCCTGGCTCCCCGCCGTCCCTGCCAGCCAAGACCCATACCAGTGGCTGCCGTGTAGCAGACAGTCCTGGTCTGGAAAGAGGAGGGAAGAGGCATGCTGGTATTTCCTGGCACATTTTAAGCACTGAATATATCTATTTAGGAAAAATGCCTCCTCCCATACATACCCCGTGATAGAGACCCGCAGGTGTGCAGGGGCTGAGGGCTTCTCTCTGCCCCGGGGTGGAAAGGGAGGGTGATCTTGCAGCCTCTCCATGCAGCCAGGACCCTGCCTCTTCTGTAGGTTTTGCAGGTCCAAACGTCTCAGTTTCTTCTGAGGAGAAAGGTAGGAGGGAAAATTAATGAGAGAAGAAAGACATGAGCACACCTCTCCTCTGAATCAAGGGTACAGTTTTACACCCAGCAGTGGGGCCGAGATAAAACAGGGGCTTGAAAGTGCCTCTGATTGAGTTAGATGGCAATTGAGTTGATTGAATTCTGGAAAAATATCATTAGTTGCTTAGTTTGTATCTCTTAGATTAAATACATACAAAGGGAGAAATAAGTCAGCCTTGTTCCCCTTGCATGCAGAAGAGGAGCTGCCCCAGACCAGCCCCAGCCATGTGGGGATAGGTGCTGGGGTGTAAGCTCCCTTTTTGCGGTCGGAAAAGCAGTGAGGTTTCATTTTAAGGCACTTCCAGATTAAGGTCCTCATGTCTCTGCTGGGTCCAAACCTAGTGCTGCTGGTGCCAAGCAACTGCGGGATTCGGCCACAGTAGGACCATGTGCTGGGTGATGGTGGGATGCAGCCTGTCTTTTACAGGGATGCCCTTTAAAAAAAGAAGAAGGTACTTTCTCCATTAATCATGAAAGAAAGAGAAGCAGAGATGGGTTTGACATAGATAAGGGTGAAATTCTTAGATTAATCATTTTATTGAAATCAATAAACTGGGCTTTAATCAGTCTGGATTGATTAACTACCCATCTCACCACAGTGGAAATAGGAAGTTAACGTGCAGACAGTTTTGCTATAAATATCAACAGTTTCACTGTGAATGCTATAAATCATAATACTTCAGAGGGTTGTAAATTAAGGTTCCTTCTCTGTCTTGCCTTGTATAAATATCTCTTGGACAGAGTTTGAAAGCTTTTGGGAAAGAGCTGTGTGGTGGTAAGAGACAATGTTATACAGGGAATATGGGTGTGTTGGGGGCTTCTGCAAATGTGATCCAAAGCCCAAGAAAAATCAATGAGAAATCTCTGAGTGACTCACTGCAGAGTCAGGCTTTACAGGGGGATGATTTTATGTACCTGTTGCTAAATACGTGCGTGTTTCACCCAGCCGAGATAAGGCTGCAGCAGAAGGGATTGCAGCGCCAGAGGGCTGGTCACTGCAAATTGGGAGTTAAAGGGAACCGAGCTGGAAGATGTCCCCAGGCCTCATTTCTCTCTCCGATGTCACCTCTTTTTCTGCTCATAAAATCTGCAGGAGCAGTGTGTCAGAGCCTCATGCTTCCTCCTTATTCACAATTATTTGCAAACTTCCCTGTGAATTGCACCCTGGCTCTATAAAAAGCTCAGGAAGGTGGCTGGAAACGGCGGCTGCCTGAACTTTGAAATTCTCCCTCTGCTCGTTAGTTATGCAAATCCCCAGATACTGGCTTTTAGGTCACTAATCGAGCCAGGGCTGCAGTGCTAAATATTGCAAGTGAAAGTGCAATTGGGGCATCCCTTGGGGAGGGGAATGTGCACGGGGCTTCATGTGGTGTCAGTGCCCATGGTGCCCGGGTGGCTTTTGGGGTGATGGGGTGCAGTGATGCTCTGAACATTGGCGAGTGGCCATCTGCTGGGTGTGGAGTTTTCCATCTCAGTTTTCACTATTTGCAGCTCAGTTTTCCAGCTCTATTTTTTCAGCCCTAGTGAGGTCCATGAAAGTTGCAAGAAAGAGTAAAAATCCTGTTAATGGGACCGAGAAACATTTTCCATGGACAGGTGGGGTTCATGCTGGGCATAGTACATTCTGGGGTGACGGGGGTGGCTGGAGGACAGTGCTTTTCCCAGGTCAGTCCCTGTGGAGGGGACCCCTCTTTAAGACATGGTCGCTCCCCATGAGACACTTTGCTCCCCCGAGTCACTCGGTGTGCGTGTGCATCAGGCCCCATCAGTCTTCTCCCCTTGAATCTTTAACCCACAACCTGCTCCTGGCCCAAACTGGGATTTGTTGACTGCTTAGCCTGCTGGCCAAGGTACAGGCCTTTCAAACTTTCCTAGAATTTACTTTCCTTGAACAAAAAAGGCTTCCTTGAAGCATTGACGGTACCTACGTGATGGGCTTGGCTGGCTAATACCCCGGGATTAGCAGAGGGAAACTTTAAACCTCTGCCCAATGACAGATGTTTCCTATGAGGGACCCTTCAAGGACGCCCACTCCACCACTGTTAGCTTTGCGATTGCCTGGATAAGGGTCTGGATCCTTCCCCCGCACTGCCCCATGGTAAGGATGGGCTGAGCCCTGTGAGTCTGCAAAGAGAGCGAGTGACCCAGCTGGCACCACCACCGCGTTGCTGTCCTCTTCCTGCCAAATCCAGATAGGTGGCAGGCCCAGATCCAGGCTCAGCGCCACAGGGCTGGCGTGAAGGCGATGCTCCGAAACAGGCCGTTTCCAGCCTGCGCGCCGCCCTGGCACTCCTTGCCCGCCTGTGCCTGTGCAGTCTTTGACCCGGCACTGGAGCCTGGCTGGCGGTGCCCGGCTCGGCACTCATAAAACCGTGCCAGTTGCCAAAATAAGGGATTGAATCACTGCAGGGATGGGAAATGCTTGTCCCAACACCCAGCTGTTGCTGTGCCCAGGGTTGGAGCATCTCCTGTCACGTTGCTTCGTGTCTGAGAACGTGGGGTTGCAATGGGGAAACTCGCTGCAACTGCCGGCAACTTGCTCCTCATCCCCTTGGGGTTTGCACCTCCTGGGATGAGGCTTGCAGGAGGGGTGCCTTCACCCCACACACATAAGTGTGGGTGCAGAGCTGGCCCCATCTGACTGTGCTAGTCAGGGCCAGCCTGTGCTCCTGCACACCAGTTTGTGCTCTCCGGATCCGGCTCTTCCCCACGTTTCTGCCCCTTGCCAGCAGCCATACTGCTCTATGTGGCTATGTTATGCACCAAGCCCTGGGCTCTTTTTCCCATCTCTGCCAGCCCCATAACCCCCAGGTGTGCAGCCCCCAGCCCTGCACTCCCACTTACAGCAAAGCTGTTTTGGAAGCACAGAGCTGGATCCTCTGTGTGCAGGGAACTAGAAAGCCATCAGGGCAAGCAAGTGGTGCAGTTTTATGAGTGAAACTTTTCCAGTGCATGACGTACCAAGCCAAACGAGGTTTTATTGGTAGCGGGGTGTCCACAGAAGCATTGCCGTTTGCTCTGAAGTCATTGGCACCAGGAAGAAATCCTCACGTTGGGTCAATGTCAGGCAAACAGCCATGCAAGGAGCTACCTTGGGAGTAGGAGGGTCTCTGGGGTCCTTGGAGGGGTCCCCAGCACCTTCGGGCACAGATGAGTCCTACCCTCAGCCCAGCAGCTCCAAAATGCCCATTTCTCTGTCCCAGAGCAGAGCTGGGGGAGCCTTGGCAGGGTCCACTGGGTAAAGACTCATCCAGCATTTCCTCCCTCCACCATACAGTGAAATTAAATATGTATGAGGAGGGGGGGTTCCCCTCACCCAGTTTTTGACACC